TATGGTGGGATGAAATCCCAAGAATGATTAAACAATGGCTATACATCAAATATGATCGATATCTTGATGGAATTGCTGAAGTTCATGAATGTTGGCATTTGCTTATTCAGTTTTTGTTCATACTAATGAAATATCGTTGCCATCGGATTTGCTTCAGATTTGCAAATTTACACACTACTTGCCAACTTCTGCACCGGAGTAAGCCGCTTCCATTGAAGGGCATGATTTGCTATGCTTTGTAAAAAAACAGCTCCAACACTGTGTATGACCTTGATCCCCGATCATGTGCACAGGTTCTAAAGGTTGATTCATGTGGGCATGTCCACGTGTATTCCTCCACGTGGGTGGGCTCAGGTGGTCATGTCAGGTTCCAACATGTGGATGGGAACCGCTTCCACCATCAAGGCTGGCTGGGTGGAAGATGTTTTGGGATATGTTACACCGTATGTCTCTAAAGTCAATCATCAAAAATGCTGGGCACCACCACCATAGGCATTACCCTCTGGTGAACTAACATAGCAATGGAAAATGGCCATTTATAGTGGATTTTCCCATTAAAAATGGTGATTTTCCATTGCTATGTTAGTTCACCAGAGGGTAAGACTGCTGCCAGAGGTTTTGTCTATGAACATTCGGGTATTGTTCATTCTCCATTGTTATTACATGTTATTACACGTTACTTAGAAGACCAAACGCTTGGGTCTATGTGCACTAGACATGCTGTCACATGGGTAGCCAACATGTCGGACCCTGGCACTGAAAGATTTTTCGCGTCATTTCTTAGTAGACTCAGACCTTCAAGACATTTCAAAACTATCCCATTTTTGGCTAACCCATTCTGGCTTCATGGGATCCCACGGGTAGTAAGGCTGTTCAGGATCGTCCATTCTAGCCTCTGTGGAATGTTCTATTGTTTATACTTTCCTGGTTTTCCTATGTTTTCCTAAAGTTTTGTTAACGGTGGGTATTCTGTCACAACATATCATCCTATACATGAATTTGATACTGTTGGTTTTGATTTGTTGGCGGACGCAAGTTGGCAGGATTTGGGTTTCTTCTGCAGGTCGGGTGATCCGTAAAACTTTCCTCACCTCTTGGAGTCGGTCCAAGCAGGAAAGCTACGACACCTACATCGGCATGATCCGAAATGCCAAGAGATTCCTGTACATCGAATCTGGGCTGCATTTGTTTTGGATCGATTTCGGATTGTCGTCTCCTGCTTGGAGAACGTTGTACTGTTTTTTTCGGATCTTGTAGAGCTATGGGCCCCAAAATAAGAGCATGATAACATGGGACTCTGATCCTCACAACATCCAACACATATTTTATTAAATGTAAGTGGAAGAAAATATGTGCCAAGAGCAAGAATCTGCATGACCATGCATGACCTATTAGCACTCCAAGGGTTGAAGCTCGTTCTTTCTAGGTTAGACAATGACTTTTCTGAACGTATTCTTCCCTCGGAAGGGAAAGAATAGAGATTCAACTAGCTAGTCGTTGGGTAGTTTTCATGATTCAATCGTTTAAGGAAACCTTGATTTGGTTGGTCTATGGATTTGTTCCATGAAAACATATATGAAAACCGTATACAAGCGTGACTTTTTTATGGTGAATCATGGTGAATCATTGGCACCGGTCGACAATCAAGTTTTGTTAGGATCCCAACCTCACGGAGATCTTAAAGCTGCCTTCAAGTGGTAGCAGAAGCACCAACATTGGTGCCTATTTGGTGATACTTTGTCAAGATTCGGATTATGTTTCGACGTCCTAAACATCTGAAGGATGTTATACCAATTCTTGTGAGTTAGTATCCTCAATTGTTGGTTCCGAGCCCCATTTTTACCGCTAAGCTATATAGATAACCTATGATAACCTATGATAATTTATGATATCATGTAACATCACCATTACTTACACAGGTGACCCATTTGCTGGTGCCTCCTTTCGACAGGAAAACCAGTATTTCTCCAGCGACTTTCCATCCGCGAGTGCCGAATGTCAGCACACGCACGACCCCGCGCGGGCAGTGCTGTATAGCGGTGCCGGCAATCGTCTGGGCGAGGTGCTGTTGGATCGCATCAAACGTCCCATGGCAGCAGGGCAGCCTGGGGGAAGCACGCCCTGGCGAAATCTTGGGCATGGAAAATGGCCACATATATATATATATATATATATATAGTAATAATAGTAATAATAATACTAATAATAATAATGTTAATAATAATAATAAGACTACTAATAATAATATTTATATATATATATATATTTATAATAATAATATTATTTATAAATATATATATGTATATATAGTTATATATATATTATATATATATATATATAAAAAAAAAACTCGGTAAATTAGAATGACCTCACTGCGACCTCACTGGAATCATGGTTAGCAAGGGGAATCATCCCCAAATGGCCTTAATTCAGGTTAGTGAAATATTATAATTTACCAAGATATGAGTATATATTATATATATATGTATAGATATAGATATATACTTATACACATATATATAATTACTGTGGTGTTTTTATCATAGGTGAATAGTTGCTATAGGGTTATACATAATATATATATATATACTATTCTATCGGGTCACCCCCACATATTTACATATATATTTTATGTAATTATAGTATATATAATTTGTTATCCGGGTCACCCCCATATGTTTACATATGTATATATATATATACTATCTTATCGGGTCACCCACACATACACATATATATATACTTTGAACCCCACAACGCTTCCACTTAGCTATCACAGCAGCAACAGCAGCTGAATTGGGATTTGAGTGGATTTTTTCAAAAATTGGGATGATCGGGGTTCCTTAGAACGCTCGCTACCGGTAGTGAATTGGGGTTTGAATTGATTTTTTCTAAAATTGGGATGATCGGGGGCCCTTAGAACGCTCGCTACCGGTAGTGAGTGTTCTAAGAGGGAGCGACGGTCGCTCCCTGTTAGAACGCTCCCTAAGATAGATAGTGTTCTAACAGGGTGCGACGGTCGCTCCCTGTTAGAACGCTCGCTACCGGTAGTGAGTGTTCTAAGGGGGGGTTGGCAAACATCGGACCAGGGATGATCTTGTGTTTTCGCTGGGGGTCTTAGTGAGAAGAACGCAAGATTGAGGGTGCTCCAGCGACAGGAAACCTCCCTTAGAACGCTCGCTACCGGTAGTGAGTGTTCTAAGAGGGAGCGACGGTCGCTCCCTGTTAGAACGCTATCTATCTTAAAAGCAGCAATTATACATATGGATGATTGGGGGGCCCTTAGAACGCTCGCTACCGGTAGTGAATGGGGAATTCTTTCAAAAATTGGGACGATTGGGGTTCCTTAGAACGCTCGCTACCGGTAGTGACTGGGGAATTCTTTCAAAAATTGGGACGGTTGGGGTTCCTTAGAACGCTCGCTACCGGTAGTGAATGGGGAATTCTGTCAAGAATTGGGATGATGGGGAGCAATTAGAACGCTCGCTACCGGTAGTGAATGGGTAATTCTGTCAAAATGGGTAATTTTTGAAAAAAGCCGGCTGTTGCTGCTATGATAGCTGAGTGGAAGCGTTGTGGGGTTTAAAGTATATATATATATGTGTGTGTATGTGTGGGTGACCCGATAAGATAGTATATATATATATATATACATATGTAAACATATGGGGGTGACCCGGATAACATATTATATATACTATAATTACATCAAATATATATATGTAAATATGTGGGGGTGGCCGGATAGCATAGTATATATATATATATATATATTATGTATAACCCTATAACAACTATTCACCTATGATAAAAACACCACAGATTATATCTATAATTAATATATATATATAATTATACATAATATATATATATATGCATTTTTGTTTGTTGGCAAACATGTTGGAAGATCTGACTGGGAGATCTTGACTTGGTAATATGGGAGCTTCATTCTACCGGCGCAAATTCTTAATTGCAACTTGGGCAAAAGCTGTACTTGTTTAACGCATAATCCCTTCCCGCTATTACTAACCCCCCCAAATAATAAAAACTAAGGTCCGTTTCCAATTTCGGATTTTTTGAGGTTGGCCAATTTGATTTTTAATTGATACCCTTTAGAAAACAATTTAAAAATGAAGCTACCATTTCAGGGCTTCACCCCCGACTATTAAAAACTAGTCAACGCGGGTGTTTCGTTATTGTTTTGTTCTCTTTCTTGTTTCACAGATATATATTTTTGTCTTTTATATATACATATATTAATAAAACCACTACACATTATTTTTCTTTCTCCAAGTTGAGATATTTTATCGGCTGCAATCTTAGATGTAAAATAACAATTTGGTTTTCACTCACTCTAGATTCAGAAAAATATTCTACTGATGACTCTTCATTTTCTTTATTATCTGGATCATTATTTGCTACTCTTATTAGAATCTAATAACTCTGTTTTATATAGCATTAAAAGAAAACTATTAATGCTTGATGTATGTTCTAAGCTGATTGTTGAATTTGAAAGCTATACTCTTTTTTAGCTTCATTATACCCTTGCATATAAGCTTTCCTCCTGGTTTGTATCTTTACTTGTTTCATCTAAATCTTGATTATCGTTTTCCTGAACATATAATTTTGTATAATCTTTAATCTTACATTATTTTTGAGTTTCATGGAAATTCAATTTTAGAAGCTTATATTTAAAAAACAAATAGTTTTTTTAAGCATATTCTTGATTGATTTCTGATATCTGACCTTGATATACCACATTTTTGGCAATATTTTAATTAGATTTTAAAAGGAAATCTAATCGATTTTGGAATAGAAAAGCATATATACCTTCTAAGCCAGGGACCTTCTTTTTTTAGGGTATTCAAAAATCACCGGGTTATTATAAAAAAAAAACAGGTTTCTTGAAAACAGGATCTCACACAATGATGAAGTAGATAACAAAATCTGGCACATCCCTAACATGCATCTCATCGGACCTTTTCTCTTTTCCTCCAGGATCACCTAAGCAGTCCAGCTTCCCTCCATTCAATGAGAGCCGCTGCTAAATATCGAGACAAAGTGCGGGTCATTACAGTTCTGATCGAAACGCGTCTGGAAAGTCTAGAGACTCTTCCCACCAAGTCCTCATCTTGTTGGCATCCACAAGTCATTACGTTGAATGCCATGTTGTGCTCACGGGCAGACCATTCAATCTCCAAAAGTAGATGGTGCATGTAATGTAGCTTGGGATACAGCGGATACAAAAGTTGCATCCCCGCATCGTAAGCAGACCTTGCAAGTCTCGCGTACGAGTCCAAAAAAACAAGGCCACAGTCAGCCACATAGAAACTTTCTTCACGCGTGAGAAAGGATGTTGAGCCATAAAGCATCGTAAACATTTGATTCAGCTTCTCAACGCCGCGCTTCGCAAGCACCAAACGACCAGCCGCATCAGGCGCCAAAGTATCAATCAAGGAAGGTATCCATTTGAAAAAATTCGTTGTAAGTGCCCCTTTGTGCCAGGCTCCCATTGCTCCTGCCCGGTCATTGTAACTGACCAGAGTTGGCGAAATTTTTGACACATGTCTTTGTTTTTTTTCACGACGGCACCATGTATGGTAATGACAGGTGAGCCACTTCCATTTCTCTTCCAGGTTGCTACATGGTACACATTCCAGTGCTAGTTGGACAGTTGAAGCTATGTACGATCGTCCAAATCCAAGGTGAACCGTATGCCATAGATCTATCTGAAAGAAAGATGCTAAGTCATTGGTATCGTGAGGCAGGTGTTTCAGCAAGACTGGTGTTTTATCCCAGGGAAGCTTCACATTTTGAGTACGTATCCATGCTGGTGACCTTGTAGCGATCTCTTCTGCAGGAAAGCCGTCAGTTCCTGCCAAACACAAATGGCAAATACCACTTGGTTTTTTTCTCTTTGCTGGATCCTTTGCAGTTCGCTTTGTGGCAGTGTTGAAGGTACGGTTCAACCCTCCAGCTTTTGCTAGATAAGGTAGGTCACCCTTCAGGCCGATGATTGCTACCCAAAACCGCTCTCCAGTATAAGGGTTCACCACTCCATGATCATAAAGTTCCCGAAGTTCTTTTGCCAAAACCTCCATAGCATCATGAAAAACTGCATTGTTGCTTTCGTACAACGACTTGGGAATAACAAAAGATACCAGTCTGGAACAAAAGGTGTGGCCTGCGTAGTTCACCAGAGGCGTTGGCAAACCATCCGCAGAGAGTTTTTGTCTTTTGGGGCTGAGCCCGTATCCCAAGGCAGATTGGATAGAGGTCACCATTAAGCCAGACTTCTTGAGAGTTCGACCCTCGTCACCGTGTAGGTAGCAAGCAACTGTGCGACTATAGTCCACCCCAGGTTTCGAAAACAACTCAAAGTGTGGATAAAGCTTTTGATAATTCGACCAAAATGTTTTCCACAGCGGCCCTGCCAAATGCATTTCATCCGCCCTGACTCCAGCTAGATGATGCCAAACACCCTGACGCAGGATAAACTGAAACCAATCCTTTGGCGATATCCATGGAACTGTTTGGCCCTGGACCGTCATATCACTGACAGGGACATCCAATGCACTCCCTTGCTTGGAAATGACTTGGTGCACACCCCTTTCAGAATGATCCAAAGGAATTTGGGACCAACTTAGAATCCCGGATTGTCTTGCCCTCCCTTCACCGATCTCTTCAGTGACGGCCCGGGCAGTGCGAATCTGTGAAGTACAACTGGCCTCAGAGAAACAGGAAGTATATAAAAATCAACAGTTTCTGTGTAGGAGTGCGTACTTGGGATCAACCTTGCACACCCGGTGATTTTTGGATACTCAAAAAATATATTTGGAGAAACCTTGTAAGGAATGAATGTACATGTCTTAAGATAAGAAGGCACGCAACAAAAAAAACATGCAGGGATGCACACATGCAAAGGCAGCTGTGCATTTTTGTTTCCCGGAATTTCTTGATGGCACGAATTGTTCTGTACAAGTTCCAAGTGCAGCAATTGCAGCCTAGAAGGTTGATGCATATATACTGGAAGGTAAAACCAACAAGTACTTGTGCACGATGTGTGCGTGCATACCGTGGATGAGACATTTTTTCGAGGGCTTCCAGCGATGAAGTATATATTCATAATTTCTTTTGCAAGGAAATATTAAAAAACAAACTTAATTTGTTGGAAAGGTTCCCTTGTTGCAACCATGGCATGCCACACAGCACATCCATCTATAGTTTTCGAATTGGAGGTGGAGTCTGAAAAGATCGATAAACTAAATATGTAAAGAAAGGGCCATCCCCCGAGCTCACGGTATCGCCACCAGTTCTCTCGTTCTTGCAGCCCCGGATGCCTTAGCAAGATCAAGTGTTTCTACATTGGGTTGCACAGCAAGATCCTTTTATTAACAACTGTGTTGCGCTATAGCCCCCTTCTGATAGGATCCTCTTAATATGATTAACAAGTATGGTCAGGGGAATATTGGAAATTAAACATCAAGATTGGGTATAAGTATATGGGTATAAGTTTCCAACCTACTTCCGTTACCTCCCACAAAATAGATATCACAAATGATAAGCAGAACATTTTTGGGAATACCATGGCCCATCATGGCCCATCCCCTGGACCAGAGCCATGGCACTGCCAAACTCACGGATGAGCGCTGCTTCGAGAAATGCTGGGGCATGCGGATTTGCAGCTGCAAATAAGATTGTCATGTGCTGGAATTTGTCCACACAATCCTTGTATCCAAATAGTTTGCTATGCCATCGAAAACATGGAGAGTGGGTGAAACCAAACTTAAATGTCATTGGAGACAATTTGGAATGATGTTTCTGAAAGACTGTGCATGCATGTTCCAGCACACGTCCTGCTGTCACCCCACTAGGTGGTAATGAAAGGGATACGCACGGGTCTTCAGCAATTTCAGAAAAGACACTTGCACTGCGAGCTAACTCGCAAATCTTCGAAATCTAAATGTTCCTGCCCTTTCTTGGTTGGAACCTTGTGGAGATCCAGCTTTTTTTTTTTGAAACAATTTATTGGATCCAAGTGGTCCATTTGTTCTAGGATTTTTCGTGCTTCCTTTGTCTGTCGTGTTCTTGCCAGGTCAGTAGATGATTCCCATGCATAGGGGCCCAGCGAAGCCTAGAAACCAAAACACATCATAATCTGATGTGCACGGTGCCAATGGAACATGTCCAAGTCCAAACACAACAAACTTACCATAACTTCAACAGAAGCAAGTGGGTGGCACCAAGGAGCGGAGCGATGGCATGTCAGCAGATCAAGAAGTTCTTCTTCTGGAGACTCCATGGATGCAACCACTGGAATGGAATATGTTGTGTGATTTCAATCATATACGGATTGTTTAGGTGATGGGTGTTCCTCATAGTGATCGATAGTATATACTCTTTGTACGTTGGAAAGTTTGTAGTTGTTAATGATAAATTGGGCATCAAAAACCGGTATGATGTTTTTTGATGTATATAAATTTACATACATCAACAGTCCCTGTCTGAACTAAAAAACATGAGCGACCAAGCTTAGAACCACAAAAGCAACAGGAAGTATATATACATGCAACATTCTATGACACTGCGGGCCACTGATATCCGAAATCGTGGCAATCTTGTGCAATGATATCCACTCTTACCAGTTGATTTCCATTGAATTCTTTTGGGGGGAGATATGGGAAGGATTAACAGATACAACCTGAAACTATTACCCCATATACTTTCGACAAACCTCGATGCTGAGTCCCCGGCACCCTGGGCAACATTAGCAGCTAGGGCTTTCGCTGTGGGGCCAGGACCTGGCTTTCAATCCATGTGCGCAGTTGAGAAAAATCTAATTCTGGGATGAATCCTGTTAGGGAATAAATCAGAGTTGATCACAAATAAGCTCGCACTATGCTGATTTTTTCCTCCACCCCTGCAGGCTCGAGCAACTGTTGTGTCCCGCATGTTTTTAAGCAAAGACCCGGCAAAAGCTTGCCCCCCACCTTGTGACAACGAATGTGATTAGAAACATTTGATAAACAAAATAGCATCTACACATCGATTTTGTTCATGAGAGTTCCGTGGATTGTATGGCAAGCTTGGCCTTTCTTAATTGGGCTACCCCATTGAGATATATATTGTAAGAGTGTGTTGAGAAACACAACTGCAAAGGGAATTCTTCATGGATCCACAGAGACATCACTGCAGGCTCAAACGATTGAACCACTCGGGCTCTAGTCTTGCTCCTGCTTGGCAATCTTCTTGAAGTGTCGCTTCGCATTCCTTGGTGGGCCGAAGCTGTATCAAATAATCACATGGCCTATGATACTATGATGATCCGAAACAGAAATCCATATATATACTTATATATAGTGTTATCCAGTTGCTACTGTATACACTTTAGATGAACTTGTTGTTCCACATAGAAGTTTTTGAACCCAACCCCTAGGCTCCTACTGTGTCACTGCAGCTCAGGAAAAACGTTGGGGCCACGGCCGGATCTTCGCTTCGTTCTGCACAGCTTTGGCGCACCTGCATTGGTGTTTCTCGGAGAATTGGTCGAACCCAAAATAACCTAGGATCTACAAGGGAAAGAATTTGTTTATCGGGTCAAATATATTTTTTTAAGGATCATTCTGCATATATATATATATAGTGATTGTGAAACGTTTGTGTGATTTTTTGGGGAAGGTCAACCTGTTGTAACAGGATTTTTGAGATCTGCACAGAAAGGTGCTTTCCTTCATCGCCTTTTCCGATTTTGCCTTCCACCTTAGTTCAAGGTCGAACCCAAAATATATCATATAGATTCAGATTTTCAAACAAAGTTTCCCATCCGTAAATGCTATATACATTTGTTGCCCGGAGTAAAATACTTTGGTGATTCGGTTTGCTACCCAAACACCCACCAGCGTAGTCATCCCTCTCTCCCTCTGCCATCACTTCGGTCAGCTTGTTGTAAGAATCATCCAACTTACCGATGTCCATGTCCAAGGCTTTGATTGACCTGGGAAGATGGTCGCAATATGACACAATCTAATGAGGCAAGCCACCTGACTGACTGCAAACTGTATATACGGGGTATAGGTCAAGAGAGGTTAAGAAAAACAATTAAATTACTCTATGATTGTTGGATTGAGTTACTTTCTGACAACCTCGTCGGTATTGTTATAGTGCTTCGCCAAGTCAGACTGCAAAGATCGGAGCTTTGCCGTCTTTTGCAACACCGAATCACAATGCTTGGTGAAAATCTCCTTTGATCGCATCGCCTTTGCAGCGATAGATGATCTCAAAACTTTAAGCCTGTGGGAAATCAATTTCATTGTTTTTCTTTCGCAACTGCAAATTTGGCACAACAGTTTGGTACTTTTGAAAAAAAATCAACTAATGACTCGAAATGCAGGGCCTCCGATGTTGCAGTCACTGCACTGCTCTGGGATGCAAGCAACCGTTGCTTGTCCTTGTTCAATCTGTCAAGCTTGACCTCGGGCATCGGCTCCTCGCTATCGTCCTGGCAGGTTGATAACATGCGGAATTGGCTGGATTGAAGATTCTTAAGACTGAGCTGATTGAAGCTTGGCCAAATTTCAAGGCTGACTGCCTACCCAAAAGATTGGAGGGTCAGAAGAACCTTAGGTGGGAATGAACCTACAAACATGGAGTTGTGGATCCAACCAGTTTAAGCTACGGAGGTCCTTTGTGATCTCCTTTCGTTCATCCTTTTTGAGTCTGTTTTGTTCCAGGGCACCAGTCTCGCGGGTGGTGACATAGTATTCCTCTTCGCCACCATATTCGCAGTTCCTGCCGGGAAAAAAATGAATATATGATAGCAGTATATACGGTGGGTTGAACTGTTTGAGTATATTTTATATATATTGTATCCCTTTTTCTGTCCTGATCAAATGCAGTGGATCCTGCTCACAGATCTTGACAGCTCCGGCAATCTTCTTCCTCAGCAGTCAACAGAAACTGTTGGAAATACCACAGGTACCTCAACCATAAACTATTTGGCATGCCTTTTTTTTGGTGAAAAAAACATAGATGACCGTAAATGTTTTTTCATTGTTCATTGCGCCAACACTAAAAAATAATTTCATAGAACCAGATTCGCATTCCAGTGAAGGACCTTCAACATATCCTCCTTACTATACCAGCCCACCGCCACTGTGCTCTTGTGGTTTTCCTCGTTTGTCACAGTCCTTTCCCGAAGCTTGATGAATTTCTCCTATGAGGCGCATTGACGATACTGCGGAAAAGGCCTTGATATGGCTCAAATTCTTCGGGGATATGGCAATTGAGTCGCTTGGATCTATAACATGTGTGGGTGGTAAACAAAAACACATATATTGTAATATATTGTGAAACCATTTTTTGGCGATAAATACTTTGAGAGAGTCATGCAGTCCTTATCGAATCCACAGTCTCGATATTCCATGGCCATTTCTAAGTGATCCCGCTGCTTCCACTCTTTGTGGAGCCATGCTGGCACCTGAAGCTTGGGAGCCTCACCATGTTTCGCTTTGTCCTCGCACAAGCGTCTGAGCTTGGCTTTGGCTGCGTTCTTCTCCTTCACGTCCTGGGTCAAGAAGCAATAGGTGATATCACATGAATATAGAATATGACATGAACAAAAACATATCATATGAACATAGCGGGCGTTGGAATTGAACAACCAAACATGGGAGGGCTAAGAGGCCTGTTGGTAACCTATGCCGCCTATTGAATTTGAAAAAACAATATATTCAATATGTGGCAGAAAATATAATCACATAGATCATCAGAGAATCAAGTACGACCTTGGCTTCCTTGGGAGGTGGGGATGCTGCTTCAGAATCCTTGCTGGGGCTCAGGACTTCACGCTTTCGTTTGGCGTCAAGTTCATCATCCGATAATCTGGCATCTTGGCTCAGGGATTCGGACCCACTCAAAAGATGCATGGCAGTGGCCGCATCAAGGGCGCCACACTGGAACATCTCGACGACTCGAAGCATGGCCTAGGATGCCAAACCATGCATATATACACATGAAGTTTCAAAAAAAACAAAAATACATCATTTAGATTTAGCCTACTCGAAGAACGATGAATGCTCGTCTAGCAGGAACAAAAACACAGTTCGGACTATATAATGTTTAATGCCAGTCAGATTTACAGCTTAAAACATCAAGGTCAGAAACTCACTGAAATTTACGCCAGCACACACTGGCATTGGACCCATAAGATGATGGTAAGGATGCAGTCGATGCCACAGGCGAAGTCTGTTTTGCACTATGACTCTTTGGTCGTGCGACCGGTGATTCGGGTGCCTTATCCAGGCGTTCCCCCAAGACAGACCCAATATCTCCTGGGATGGTATCGGCGTTGGCGATGTCGATCTCAATCTCCTTCTTCTGCGGAGTAGCCTCAGAAAGCGCATTGGAACAAAATTGAGTGTAATGTTGGGAAATATATATTGTCAGTCATTTGACTTCGTGATCAAGCCCCCAGATTTCGACGCATATAATGATTGAAAACACCACATATTAATGATAAAATTGATATATATAGTCATTGGGCATGCACGTTATTCGGACAAGCTTTTCCACTTGCAACTTAGTAGCACTCTGCCGCAAAGCCTTCAGCTTAGCGAGAGATTCAGCCTGCACGGGTAAGGTATGAAGTTGAAATGGATTCGTTAGTTCAGTGATGCTTTGAATGTTGGTTGTGTTTTTCAGATACA